GCATGAGTGAGGAATGCTAATCTCATTAGACACCCACAGATAAAAGCGACTTTGGCCAACTCGAAAGCTTGAGCCATTCCTTTCGGATATACAGGATTCGTTGGTGTGGTGATTTTGCTACTGAAATAAAGGTTTTTACACTATTTACAGCTAGGTAGGTTAGATCAGCCATATTTCGCAGAGTTTTTTTAATAGCTTTATTGAGATTTACTCTAGGTGTACTCTAGGTGTGGTGTAGGTGGTGATCATGCACCTTGCAATAAATGCAATTTATAAATGTGATCGAGAACTAACTATTACCGTATTTCTTCTTCGCTGTATGTTCCCATCTTGAAAACGGTTCTTGAAGGGCAGTCGATTACTACAACTCCAATTCTTGCTTTTTTGTAATGGTTGGCAAACTTCACCACGAATTCTATTTCCTTAAAAGCCCTCTTTAATGAATAGACTCCAATTTTTTTATCATCTATTGGGTTGGCGGGAAAGTTCTGTCATACTTTTTCGCTGCAACCTAAATTAAGGAGGTTGAAGAACGTTATGAAAATTCGAAATTTGCATTAAATACTTTTGAATGTGGCCTTTGAATGTGGGCGGAGTCGCCCATGTGTTTTTCTGCCCCTTTTGCCCCCCCCCCTGTACATAAAGACCTGCGTGTTCAGATTTTTTATCAACTTTATCAGTTTTCAAGAAGAAATATCCTTTCCATCATATCTCCCGCTGTATTGGGCGCTATATCAAGAAACACACGAGTCGTGGAAATGGTGTTGACGCTTAGTGCTCAGCACAGAGATCTTGTCAGTTATCAGTACTAAAGGGTTTAATCATGCGCGCAGCCAGACTGGTGTTATTATAAAAGGTGAGCTAGGAACGTACCTGATCCCAATGGGTTTTGGCCGATACTGCAAAGTCCATTACTATCACCGCTGACACATCTTCTCCAGGGTCGTCACCGCTTCTTTTGAGGCGCCGTTGAGCAGCGTTGCTTCGAGCTTCACCTAAAGCAGTTACTTTTGTCGCCTAATAGAAGTGCGATATATTGATCAGAAATTGAGGGACTACATCATACTTCGGACGATTAGGCTGTTTTTTGTTCATCCGTGAACAAAATCGGAAATTACACATATATGCCACACTGGTGGCGAGAAACCTCAGTCTATGAAAAACTAGCCTGAAGTTATAAGGTAAAATCCATAAATTTGTGCGGCAACATTGGACCGCGTGACTTGCAAAGAGGATGCAAAGAGGACCTGCACTATTATGATGGGCAGTTTGCCGCTTAGCTGGCGTCATGGACTTATAATCTCTACCTATCAAAGTTCTTAGTTCTTAAAATTTTGACTGGAACGGGGGAATTACGTAGCTTCCCTTGTATCGCATCCTCAATGCCACCACAAGTCTGGATGAAATGACAACGTGTAAAGCATCTTAAGATGTGATTAACAGCCGGAGCTTCATCCTTCTTCATTCATTATTCCAGCATTCCTTGTCAACATTTTACCCGCTGAAGCGATAAAATCTTTTTTTGATATTTCTCTTGGTGCGATGAAGTGACTAGAATGTGCACAACCTCTGTGTCGGAATCTGATGCTTAAAGGCAGTTGGCACGATAAATCCCCCAAGACGACTAGGATCAATACTCCTGGCAGGATAGAATTCCGCGACCCTGGGCAGGCGCTGCATAGCGGTTTCCCCGAGGAAGGTGCCCTTATAAGGGCCCTATCAAGCCACAACATTACGACCCAAACGCCCGCCACGCCCGCCCGCCCACAAATGGACGACCGTTCCTGACGCTCGTATTCATTCATTTGCTAAGCAAATTATGAAGCGAAGGGATTGGTATGAAGCGGCCGTGATGCTGCATGCATACATGGGTACACATATGCAGCCGTATCTTCGGTAGCGGTGATTGGTAAGATGCCTACGGGAAACTCGTCCGAAATCGATTTACAAGTCACTGAGAACGGAGGCTTTTTCTTCGCAGGATTTTGACCGTTTCACTCCGTTCTTTCGCCATTTCCCCACTATACAGCGCCCTACTAGCATTTTAGGCTAAGTAGGAAACCATCGTGCCAACTGCCTTTAAGCCGCAGTAGTCACTGTTTAGTCCTTGAACTGTGTGAAGGAATGTTGTAGATTGACCTTCACCGTTCTTTATCGGTCACTGTCACGAACTTCACCCGTCGTGAACAACTCTTACCATCCCTTGACATTTTCTTGTATTTCTATGTGTGCAGGTGTGTGTCTGTATGTCTGAAAGAGCAAAAGCCATATTGCCATGACCAAACGTAGCCGTATCGCCATGACGAAACGCGATGAATTCGAGGGAATTTCATTCTATGCTTTCTATCATACACTCTGGTTTCTATAGCATCTTAGGTTTGACGCTCCTTCATTTTGTCTAGACTTATCGCTAATTGCTTTGCAATAGACTGTTTTACACAGAAACTCAATGATAGGGTGCCGCCGATGCGGTAAGCATGCCTTCGAGGGCACTTAGTGTTGATAGAGTCGCTTAAATGACGGCCACCTCCACCATTCATGCATATTGCCCAGAAAAAGGTTGCTGTGCCAAGAAAAAATGAGTCACAGTTCCTTGATTTGATATGTCCCTATGACTTTGAACATGTCTTAGGTAACATAGAAAGCCTATTTACCTGAATTGAGGTGAAAGACTATCTACTATATATAATCCGCTAAGTGTGTGTGTGTGTGTCTGTGTGTCACGAAATTCATAGCGCCCGTCCCAGTAGCTGTAGGAAGTTGATTCCAAGCAGTGATATAGAGGCTGTGACGGGAACATTATTGGTGGGTGACAGGGAGTGATATCAGCTGATAAGATCCGATAAGAGGCGTCAGAAGGGAGGGCCATCGGGTCCATAGTGCGGGACACAGCAACAGTGGGACGTTGGTTCCAAGGTATGGTATAGGGTGTGATACAGGAACATTATTGATGGGTGACAGGGAATGATATCAGCTGATAAGATCCGATGAGGGGAGTTAGAACGGTAAGGTCCCCACACTCATCAACGCAGGACACAGCATCAGCTAGGAGTTGATTTCAGAAAATGATGTAGGGTGGGATGTGGGGACATCGACGGCAGGTGACAGGACGTGATAACAGCTGATAGGGGCAGATAAGGAACGTTGCCATTGTTGTTCAGTCAAAGTGCTGGAGCCTTTACACTACCATATTATAGAGTAGTAGTGATAGGGACATTGTTAACGACAGGCAATCTTATCAATTGATAAGAAAGATAAGGGGCAGTTGTCATTACATCCTTATCGCTATACTGCCAAGTATTGGAGGCCCCGTGTGCAAACTTTTCCTTTAGCCATCACTTCTCTGATAGCCCTAGAAAATGAACTCATCCCACTATCCTACTATACAGGGGGGCCAAAAAAAAGTCATTTTGCCTCCATGACTTTCAAGGCGCTATAAGTTACACTTTATTAAATTTTTATCGGACATTTTTACTACCATATTAAAGAGCACATTAAATACTATAATGATACTCCGCCACAGCCTTCTGGAGGAGCGCCATCGAGAGATTCGGCCGCGCGAAAGTGAGTGGGTACCGGAGTTGAGCGAGATCGTTGATTTCTCCGCCACTGTAGACCACCCTGTTGAGCTCCGCCCGAACTAGGTAATTGAGTGGGTTCAGGTCAGGGGACATATTTCAATATTACATCTTCATCAGGTACGAAACGCCCTTCCATTCGAAGTAGGCGGGAGTTTTTCCAAAACCCTTCGATTCCATGTGGTGGCACCCAAACCTGTAGCAGCACAAGGTCTCCAAGAAGGTACGGGCGACCACATGTAGGGAGGATATCCTTCTCGAGTTACTTGATGTAACCGCCAGCGCTCACCTTCAGTCGGGGTCTACAAAGAAAATATCGGTCTTCCCATTCCAGGTACGGCCGGTCCACACCATCAACCCGCGCCTTGGTGAATGGGGTGAAGATGATGTCCTGGACCGTAGCGACGTTGCCGGAGCTGCTCGATGTTTGAGGTCTTGCAGATCAAGAGTACTGGTCTCCAGGTAGCTATCCATGGGTGATTCCATTCAAGAAGTTCCGCAGCTGTTTGGAGGCCACGTGAATTCCAAATATTCTCATACTTCATACTTCATATTTTGGTGTACATGAAGGTGAATGGCGGCAGCCGGCTCCTGCTTATAGAGGAAGATCTTGGGTATCTTCCGCCCTGGTACTCATATCCACTTCCTCTGTCTGGGCTGCGAAAACTTCGCTCATATGTGACTCGGCCGGAATGACTTTTTTTGGCCCCCTGTATATATCCGCTCAGAAAGTTTTCGCTGG